TATTTGCATGACTTTTCGTTTTTTCATTTTAATTGTTACCATAAAAGTGAGATTAAACCTTATTATTTTAATTGTTACCATAAAAGTGACATTACTACGATGACTTTCTGAAAGTCAACGTCTCTACGATCCTATAGTATGTGTTGACAGTAATAAATACATTTCTTAGAGGATGAAAAAGTCTGTCAAAGGAGATAAAGAAGCGATAAGTAAAAACCTTTTCTAGTCTAGATAGAAAGCACACTGAAGCTAAGCAAATCAAATACCATAAAACTAACAAAAAAGATGATACTCAAAGAATACATCAAAATCACTAAACATAAGAATCAAAAGCACATAGCACTAAAAAAACCACACAAAATTAAACAATACAGACAAATTGTATTACAGATTATTAGCACAATTTGATGAAAACAAGATCAAAAACTTGAAGAAAATATAAAAAAATTCAAGATTAAACAAATAAAGTAATAAAAAAAGAAAAAGCATAAAGATTCAATATGAAAGAAATAACCTTTAGTGTCTTTGCTACTTCTTGTATAATCTTTTCTCTATTAACAACAAACGGTAATAAGAAATAGTCACTGACACAAGTCCCAAGCCAAAATTTAAATTGTTTTTTGATAAAGAAGAATTGATATACACATTTATTAAGGAAAATGGAACTTTTGGTCTTTCCTTCATTGTAACTGTTTCCCAAAGAATTTGAACCATTGTGTCTAGAGGCATGAATTAAAATAAAATTATTATTTAATATTAAATTAATTATATATTAATATTTTATTTAGTTTAGAGGTAAAATAAGGGCAGAATGGTAATTCAACTTTTAAGTTAGGAGCTTCCCACTTATAATAATATATGATATGATATATGATATGATATGATGATATGATTTATTTAAAGTAGCATTTAAATCATGGATGAATTAATTTACATGCATTGACCTATCAAAGCATTTATTTCAACCTCATTATATACATGATTTTCTATAATTACAACTATTTGTTCAGAATTATTATTCCATTATTCTGTACAACAACTTTGCAACAACTCCAGTTGATGTCTAATATTTGTAAGAGAGTGTTACCTTTGATATTGGCCAAAGTTCAACAAGCCTACTTTCAGGTAAACAAAGCACAACGAGCTGTGATGGTTCAAAGCTCTCTGGCAATGAAATTGAAGGATACCCCCACCACGTAATAAACCGCAGGCTGGAAGGAAGATAAGTGATAGTGCAGTTTGTGCTAAAAGCTCCATCACCAACTATGAGTGTTTTTAAGCTTTGCATCCTCTTGAAAATATTGCTATAATTGTCAAAATCATCTTCAAAATAGTAATCTTCTCGGATACATAGGCTTTCCACCATTTCTGTTATCTGTAAAGAATGAAGCATATATTTAATGGCTAACAAATAAAAAAAAATGAAACACAAAAGATTAATACAACTATGAGCTTACGAAATTATTAATTAAGTTAAATATTGCTTACCAACTTTCCTTTAAAAAGGTCATAAACCTCCTCGGGAAGCCATATTCTGCTGTTAGCGTACTCTTCCCGTATGACATTTTCTCCCATTTTTCTTATCATATTATGCATCACAAATATATTACTTATGTTGATGGATAAAAGAGATTTTTCAACAAGGTAATCTATTAGAAAACCACGACTCGGGTCTCTCAGTACTGATTCCACACGAAAATGAAAATTAAAACCACCACAGTATGCAATATCTAGAAATGCAATATCTAGAAATAATTCCTTCTCATCTTTGTCCAGAGCATCAAAACTAAGCCTAAGCTTTCCTAGAATATCCTTGTGAGGGATTCTCTTCAGCCGATCAATTATGTGTCTCCAGTGCTTTTTGTCTCGTCCGTAAAATGAAGAACCCAAAACTTTAAGAGCTAAAGGGAGTCCACCAGCATGCTCCACCACTTGTCTTGAAAGTTCCATAAAATCTTCTTTTGGTGATTTTTCTCTAAAAGCATGCCTACTGAACAATTCAAGTGCTTCATCCTCAGATAATAGTTGGACTTCATACACGTTATCCCCAACGTGACTTATTAACAAGTGCTTGTCTCTTGCTGTTAAAATAATTCTGCTACCCCTACCAAACCATTCTGGCTCTCCAACCAAAAATTCCAACTGTTCTTGATGGTTTACATCATCGATGGTGAACAGAACTTTCTTCCAGCGAAGCATATTCTTTAAAATATTCATCCCTTCATGCTCACTAGTTAGAGTCAATTTTTCACCCAAGAGCTTGCAAATGACGACTTGTTGTAGCCATGTTAGTCCCTTTTTCTGATGAAGTTTTCCAACATCACCAAGAAAACAATCAGCTTCAAATTGATGGCGGTATCTTTGATGTAGAACATTTGCAATTTCTGTTTTGCCGATGCCGCCCATACCCCAAATACCAATAGAGCGAACATCATTTGATTCCATATCTAATAATGAGGTTACTTTATCAACCTGAGATTTCATACCCACTAAGTTTTCCGGGAAAGGTGAAATAATTTGAAGTGACTTAGGAAATATGTCATCAACTAGTTTCTTGACGCACTCAGCCTCATCCCTACATTACAGTGGAAAATAAACTCAAAGTAAATAAATAGAAAAGCAAAGACTTGTCATAGACTAATATCTAAAACAAACACATAATAATGTCAATTATGAATTATTACATTTTTAAATCTAATTACATCATCAAACAATCATATACGTCTCTGTTTTCCTTTTTCGGTAAAAGTATAGCTGATGATTGTGTGGAATTGTAGCTAAAAGTTTGGTCCTTTTCGCTCTTGATAAAGAGAAACCGGAAAAAAAGAAGAAAGCTTACTTGAAATTAAGTAAATGATAGCCTGATATTTTCCCTGCCTCCACAAATGCACCCCTCCATCTCTGAACCTTCTCCATATCATCTTTGCATTTTTCCTCATGTTGTAAAAATGAATCAGCAAAAGGGGGATGTTGATGGCACACATCTGATTGACTCACATCATAGAAGACTGGAATCACAATCTGCTCCAATTCCTTTTTACACTTTATGATGTGTGCAAGCTCCTTTAAGCACCATCTTGACGATGCATAGCTTTTGGAAAATATCACTATAGCAAATTTAGACTCTTGTATGGCTTTCAAAAGTTCATCAGAAATTGATTTTCCCGTTTCTAGTCGCTCATCATCTTTAAAAGTGCGGATTCCTCTTAGTTCCAAAGAATTATAGAGATGACTCACAAAGTTTCTACGTGTATCTTCACCTCTAAAACTCAAAAAGACATCGTACTTGCAAATTTTGGAAGATGAAGCATGAGACATTGTTGAAGAATATTGCTAAAGACTAACAGGCAAGTTCTCAGCACAACTGGCAAATTTATTTCTCAGCCATAATTTGGTGTATGGGGATACTTCCATTCATCTTCCTATCTGTTACTATATAGAATTAAAACAACCTGGTCAACAAGAAAGAAAAGACAAAGCTTAATATTAAAGAATAAGGTTTCACCTACTTCACTATTCCTAGGGAACTTCTTGTCATCTTCCTAATCCATGATTGTGAGAAATTAAAGAGTATAAAAAGACGCAACTTGGGCCGCCTTAGACCAAAAAAGGGAAGAAAAAACTTGTTATCATCTTCCTAATTCATTTGTACTACTTTTAAAATATTTTATTGTAAAGACTTTACCTTTTTTTCATTATTCCAGACCTATATAGGAAACTACTTATCATCTTCCTAATTCATGACATAAAAATGTACACTTTTACAGTATTGCACTGATAAATTAAACAAATGAGCACCAAATTGATACCTTTCAGTAAATTGATATAAATTCGTTGCCCTACCTGCGAAATTGAACAAAATTTTCGTAGCAATTTAGAAAAAAACACACAAAAAGCAGAAAAGAAAGACAAACCTCATCAAAGATATTAAGCAGAAATGAAGAGAACCACAATCTAACAGCTGATTGTTAAGTGCTAAAGGCAAAATACTTTTTAAGCCCAAAAAAGAGAAAATGGGTATGTACAAGCAACAAATGAAAGGATCCTTGAAGCTCAAATATAGAGGGATGTTGTTATACTTCAAAGAATATTTTCTTTTAGGGTCAGATTTGCAGACCAATGTAACTTCTAATTTTGTGTGCAGTATAACAGGACCGTAACATATCCAAAAACCCATGAATTTATAGGTATACCAAGATGGGTTCAGATCAATTGACATCTCTTTTTGATTTATAAACCGATTATAATCTAACAGCTCTGGAATTCTGACTCCGGAAAAAGAAATGAGAAAACAACCCCTTAGGTAGAAGTCACACTGCATGTAATATAAATTATTATTACTAATAGAAGTCAATTTGATGAGAATATTCAACATTCATATATGAGATAAAAACCTGGATGCATGTCCTGCGAAAATGCTGTAGGAACACATTAGCTTGTTCACTTGAGACAGTTTCACATTCGGATATTGCAAGCCTACACAGCTTAGGGTAATGAATTACGAGATCTCTGATGCTCATTAAGGCTAAATGATAATCTGCAAATAGCTCCCTTAGCTTTCCTGGCAGTCCATTAAATTCTGACAGAATTCAAGTGACGCCACTTGATGCAAATCACCAATGATTTCTGGAAGCTTTTCTAGTCTTTTGCACCCTCTGGGCTCTGAGTAAAAGACGTTGCAGATTCATCAAATTACAGAGGCTGTCTGGTAGACTTACAAGATCTTCACAACCTGTCAGATTTAGCTCAGTGAGGCCGCTCATATTTCTAGTGAACGAAGGCATTTCTCTTATCCCAGTAGAATTCAGAGTCAGTTGTATCAAGCAATGCATATCTCCGTTGATTTCTGGAAATGCATTATAGAGATGACTCACAAAGGTTCTACGTGTATCTTTGTGACATAACTTGACCCTTAGACCAAAAAAGGAAAAGAAAAAACTAGAAGTCATTATATTTTTGCTGATTTTATTGTAAAGACTAGACTTTACCTTTTTTCATTATTCCAAGCCTCTGTAGAAAACTTGTTATCATCTTTCTAATTCATGACATATCATTGTACCCTTTTGCAGTATTGCAGTGACAAATTAAACAAATGAGTAGCAAATTGGGGACAAATATAAGTTTTCCCCATTTTAACTTAATCATACCTTCCTGTAAATGATATAAATTTGTTGCCCTACCTGAGGAATTGTCCAGAAATTGAAGAAAAATTTCATAATAATTTAGAAGAAAAAGCAGAAAAGAATGACTGACCTGAGAGAACCACACCAAAAGCTAACTATTGAGGTATATAAGAGCCTGTTTGGATTCAGAATAGTTTTAAAGTGTTTATGTAAATTTAAAAAGAAATAGGCTTCAATCAGCTTATTGAGCTACAGAAGTTTTCTCAACTCACAATGGAGCATCCAGTTTTTATATTTACATTATATATACAAATTCTATGGAACAATATCACCGTATACTTGAGAGTCAATTAGCAGCAAACACATCATAAACAGAAATACTACTTCTACTTTTTATGGCTAAACAGATCTTATATAAGCCCAATATCAGCTTCACAAATGACATACTAAAATCTCATACCCCTTCCAATAGGACTCAATTATTTTTAATAGCATTAATTTTCAAATTAAAAATGTCTCTCCCAATCCAAGTTACCTTTTACATATAAAGGGATCTTAGGAAGATGGTGTGTACGTAACTTTACCCTTACCTAGTTAAGGTAGAGAAGTTGTTTCCCACTCAAACACCAACATTATAAATAAAAATTTCATCCATCTATCATCGATACAAATTCCTGGTATATAATTAATTTTCATTTGAGAAGGGTACATACAAATTGTACCAACAATGTAGAACATACACTTTCCATACCATTTTATGATACATGTTTGGTTGAATACAAAATTTAAGAAAGACAGAAAAATATTTGAAAATTGTGATGTAAAACAAGTCATAAACAGACCTTTGCATCATTTGGGTTCTTCCCTTCTTTATTGTCAGAAGCATACCACAATGTTTCAAACGGTATATAGGCACAACAAATGAAAGGATACTCGAACCTCGAATATTCAGGGATGTAGTTCTACTCCAAGGAATATTTTCTTTCAGGGTCAGACTTGCAGACCAATGTAGCTTCTAATCTTGCGTCCAGTCTAGTAGGACCGTAACTTATCAAAAAACCCATGAATTTATCAGTATACCAAAATGGGTTCAGCTTAAGACAACAAATTACGAGATTTTTGCTGCTCTTCAAAGTTAGATGATAATCAGCAAATAGCTCCCTTAAATTTGGGGGTAGCTCTCCTGGCAGTTCATTAAGATTCTGACAGAATTATACGTTCAGATGCTGAAGGTGTAAGAGTCCTTTGAAGCTTTTTGGTAAACAAGAAATATTGCTTCCACTTACATTCAAATTTTCCAAAGAGTGCAAAGATCCTAAATCCTCAGGAAGTCCACTCAATATGTTGTGATTATTAAGATCATGTGATGTCAAGGAGGATAAACCTGATACTTGATTCAAGACAAAACTTGAGGAATGTTGAAATTGTTGTTCATGTGAGAATCGTAACTTCCACAGTTTGCCAAGCTTAGTGATGGAGGGAGGTGGTTGGGAGATTGCAGTTTCGCTCGCATCAAGTATATGTAAATCTTGCAAATCACCAATGTTTTCTGGAAGCTTCTCTAGCTTGTTGCACCCGTCGAGGTAAAGACATCGAAGTTTCATCAAATTGCAGATATTCGAGGTCTCCTAGATGCCCAATGGATGAAGGCACTTCTCTTATCCCAGTAGAATTCAGAGTCAGCTGTGTCAAGTAATGCATATCTCCATTGATTTCTGGAAATGTATCTAATTTTGGGGAATTAGATATCTTGAGCTTTTGAAGGGATTTCATCTGAATCGAGCTTGGAAGCTTCTTTAAGTTCTCACATCCATCTATCTCTAACAAACGGAGCTTCTTTTGAACTCCAAGAGATATGGGGAGCTTTACCAATCCAGAACATCGGTATATACCAAGACATCCCAATTGCTGTGATTCAAAGAGGTTGTTTGGCAGTGTTGCAAATTTATTGAAACCTGAAATACTGAGATCTCTAAGATTTTGAATGGCGTCCAGAATACTCTCAAGAACTTCACACTCAGTCAATTGCAAATTTCTAAGGCTGCTGAAAGATGGAGGTAAGCTTCTTATCCACGGGTATTTTACATAGAGTATTGATAAGCGCGGCATATCTCCACAGATTTCTGGAAATTCTTCTAAGCTTGTGCATTCAAGGAGATTGAGAGTCTCAAGAGATCCCACGCAGACAAATTTTGGAATCTTCTTAAGTTTGCGATAACCTTCCAAACTCAAATAAGTAAGCAGTCTGCAATGTCCAAATGAGGAATGGACCTCTTCCAAATTCACACACCGTGTAAATTTAGTGTCTCTAAGTTTGGCATATCACCAAAATTAGGGGTTTTTCTTAACTCACAGCTGTCCATGAGATCCAAATGCTTCAAGTTGCTCAATTTCTGTTTCCAAAAAAAAAAAAGAACAGTGAGCTTAACTAGTACTCCTAATAGAAATATTTTGTAGGAAAAAAAAATAAAGAGAAGATAAGGTTGTTATGATCATTAAAGGCGGTAGCCAATCTGGAAAAGAACTTTTGAGATACATAATTGTCTTAAAATCCAAATATATATTTCTTTTCTTTTAATTTCATAATGAAAATAAAACCTCTTTAAACCTAGAAATAATTCCTTCTCATCTTTGTCCAGACAATCAAAACTAAGCCTAAGCTTTCCTAAAATATCCTTGTGAGGGATTCTCTTCAGCCGATCAATTATGTGTCTCCAGTGCTTTTTGTCTCGTCCGTAAAATGAAGAACCCAAAACTTTAAGAGCTAAAGGGAGTCCACCAGCATGGTGCACCACTTGTCTTGAAAGTTCCATAAAATCTTCTTTTGGTGATTTTTCTCTAAAAGCATGACTACTGAACAATTCAAGTGCTTCATCCTCCGATAATAGTTGGACTTCATACACGTTATCCCCAACGTGACTGATTAACAGGTGCTTGTCTCTTGCCGTTAAAATAATTCTGCTACCCCTACCAAACCACTCTGTCCCTCCAACTAAAAATTCCCACTGTTCTTGATGGTTTACATCATCAAGGATGAACAGAACTTTCTTCCAGCGAAGCATATTCTTTTAAATATTCATCCCTTCATGCTCACTAGTTAGAGTCAATTTTTCACCCAAGAGCTTGCAAATGACAACTTGTTGTAGCCATGTTAGTCCATTTTTCTGATGAAGTTTTCCAACATCACCAAGAAAACAATCAGCTTCACATCGATGGCGGTATCTTTGATGTAGAATATTTGCAATTTCTGTCTTGCCGATGCCGCCCATACCCCAAATGCCGATGGAGCAAACATCATTTGATTCCATATCTAATAATGAGGTTACTTTCTCAACCTGAGATTTTTTACCCACTAAACTTTCCAGGAAAGGTGAAATAATTTGAAGTGACTTGGGAAATATGACATCAACTAACTTCTTGATGCACTCAGCCTCATCCCTACATTACAGTGAAAATACTCTCAGAGTAAATAAATAGAAAAGGAAAGACTTGTCATAGATTAATATCTAAAGCAAACACATAATAATGTCACAAAGGTTGTTCCCCCGCTCTCCCCCCCCCCCCTGGTGTCATAAGGTAGCTTAAATCAACTATTATGAATTATAACATTTTAAAATCTAATTACATCATCAAACAACCAGATAGCTAAAAGTTTGGTCCTTTTTCCTCTTGATAAAGAGAAACCCGAAGAAAAGAAGAAGATCACTTACTTGAAATTTTGTAAATGATACCCCGATATTTTCCCAGCCTCCGCAAATGCACCCGTCCATCTCTGAACCTTCTCCATATCATCTTTGCATTTTTCCTCATGTTGTAAAAATGAATCAGCAAAAGGGGGATGTTGATGGCACACATCTGATTGACTCACATCATAGAAGACTGGAATCACAATCTGCTCCAATTCCTTTTTACACTTTATGATGTGTGCAAGCTCCTCTAAACACCATCTTGACGATGCATAGCTTTTTGAAAATATCACTATAGCAAATTTAGACTCTTGTATGGCTTTCAAAAGTTCATCAGAAATTGATTTTCCCGTTTCTAGTCGCTCATCATCTTTAAAAGTGCGGATCCCTCTTTGTTCCAAAGCATTATAGAGATGACTCACAAAGTTTCTACATGTATCTTCACCTCTAAAACTCAAAAAGACATCGTACTTGCAAATTTTGGAAGAAGAAGCATGAGACATTGTTGAAGGATATAAGACTAACAGGTAACTTCTCAGCCCAACTAGCAACATTATTTCTCAGCTATGTGAATGCATAATTTGGTCAAAAAGAGTGAAACAGTTGAGTTGACCAACCTGGTCAAAAAGAAAGAAAAGACAGACAAATTTCCAGTTTAATAATAAAGAACAAGACTTCACCATTTTCACTATTCCTAGTCTTTATGAGGAACTTGTTATCATCTTCCTATTTCAACTTATAAAATGTTAACTTTTTCATTACTGTGAGAAATTAAAGAGTATAAAAACAGACAAGAAGACTTACACCAAAAAAGGCAAAGAAAAAACTAAAGTCATTACATTTTTACTGATATTATTGTAAAGACTTTACCTTTTTCATTATTCCAAACCTCTGTAGGAAACTTGTTATCATCTTCCTAATTCATGACATATAATTGTACTCTTTTTCAGTATTGCACTGACAAATTAAACTAATGAGCACCAAATTGGGGCACAAATTTAAATCTTAACTTAATCATACCTTTCGGAAAATTGATATAAATTCGTCGCCCTAACTGAGAAATTGCCCAGAAATTGAAGAAAAAAATCGTAATAATTTAGAAAAAAACACACAAAAAGCAGAAAAGAAAACTGACCACATCAAAGATATAAGCAGAAAAGAAGAGAACCGCACTCTTAACTATTGAGGTTTATAAGAGCTTATTTGGTCAGATATATCATTTTTAGGTTTATCTTTATCAAGAGGAAAATGGAATAAAGATTCTTGACAAGCTGACGGAGTATGTCGGATTTTAGCGTTTTCTTTAATAGTGTTTATTAGCAATAAACAAGCTTTTTTTTTTACTCGTATTGAAGATGCGTTTTTTTCTAAAATGATCCGTATTGAGTTAAATTAAAAATTAGAAAGCAAGTATTTGTGTTAAATCAAGATAGCCGGGATGATATGAAAAAAACAAAAATACATGATATTATTTAATTTAATTGAATGTTTAAACAAGAAAATTGAAGCACTTCCGTCAGTTATTATTCATGCAAAAATACATTAAAAAAAATCTCAAAAAAAAATCAATGTTCATACATTAATTTTTATTTTTTTTAAAAGGAAAACTAACGAACACAAGTTATATGGACAAACACCAACTAAAAATCGCATACCCTTTCCCATAGGCAGTGGCGGAGGCAGGATTTCCATCGAGGGGGTTCAAAAAGATAAGTAAGCACACTATTAGTATCCATATAAGCGGGGCGGGTCAAATATAAATGGGTCGGATCAGATATAAGCAACTAAAAAAAATTCAACTCTACCTCAACACAAACAATAAAATCGAGTAATCATATGTTTGACGAGATTTGTATTTTTTAAAACTATAATTATGGGTCTTGTCTCTGTCATTGTTGTATACAAACGTTATTTAATTTTTGAAACTAACTAAGGAATACTTCTAAATCCGATCATACTGTAGCAATAAAATTTGCGTCGATAAAATAATTATCAAGGTTGAAAAATATCGCGACAATTGTATTTATTTATAAATTTTAAATGATTACTCTTATTTATTTAATCTTACTTATAATTATATTAATTCTTAATCAAATATAAATTAAATGTTTTCTTAAAATGAGTATGAAAGAATGTATTTTTAATTTTAATTATGACAACAACGTTTATAAGTTTTACTTAATTTTATAAAAATGGAAAATTAAATTTATTTTTTTAATATCTAATAAATAGTATAAATCTCAATAGGTTTTCAAACAAAACAAAAATTTTCATTTATTTAGAAAATTAAATGAAAATCGGCTGAAATATGGGGGAAAAAAATGCTGTTACAGGGAGTCGAACCTGCGACCCAGCACTTATATTGCGAATTCTTGAACCCCCTTTACCACTAAACCAAGCCCTTAGCTTATGTTCAGGGGTTCATCACTTGGTATATACATATAAATAAAAAAATTGACCCTATATATACCATGTAATTTTTCCAACGAAGGGGGTTCGGATGAACCCCTTGGATCCATGTAGATCCGCCCCTGCCCATAGGACTCAATTATTTTTAAGAAGTATTAATTTTCAAATTAAAAATGTCTCTCCAAATACAAATAGCCTTTTACATATAAACAGACCTTTGCCTCACTCATTGCTTCTTTTCTTTTTTCTATGACCACTATCATCACTCATTGCTTCCTCTTCATACACCAGCCGAATTCCCCAGCATACTTCTTTCTCCAGCCCGTACATGTGAGAAAACTCCAACATGTAATAATCATTTGGATTCTTCCCTTCTTTATTGCCAGAAGCATTCCACAATGTTTCAAATGGTATGTACCAGCAATAAATGAAAGGATCATTGGAAAAAGACCCACTCACCCCATACTTCAAGGAATATTTTCTTTCAGGGTCAGATTTGCAGACCAATGTAGCTTCTAATCTTATGTACTTTGTAGTAGGACCGTAGGTTATCCAAAAACCCATGAATTTATTGGTATACCAAGATGGGTTCAGATCAATTGACATCTTTTCTTGATTTATAAATGGACAATCATAATCGAACAACTCTGAAATTCTGACTCTGGGAAAAGTAATGAGAAAATAATCCCTTTGATGGAAGTCACACTGCATGCAATAGAATAGAGATTATTATTACTACTACTAGAAATCAATTTGACGAGAATAATATTCAACATTCATATATGAGATAAAAACCTGGATGCATGTCCTGAGAAAATGATGTAGGAACACATTAACTTGTTCACTTGAGACGGCTCCACAGTTGGATATTACGAGCCTACACAGCCTAAGACAATTAATTACGAGATCTCTGATGCTCTTCAAGGCTAAATGATAATCTGCTAATAGCTCCCTTAAATTTGGGGGTAGCTCTCCTGGCAGTTCATTAAGATTCTGACAGAAGTGTATGTTCAGACTCCGAAGGTGTAAGAGTCCTTTAAGGCTTTTTGGTAAACAAGAAATATTGCTTCCACTTAAACTCAAATATTTCAAAGTGTGCAAAGATCCTAAATCCTCAAAAAGTCCACTCAAGCCTAAAATTATCAGTTTCCCAAGCTTGGTGATGGAGGGAGGTGGTTGGTATATTGCAGTTTCGCTCACATCAAGCTTACATAACTCTTGCAAATCACCCATGTTTTCTGGAAGCTTTTCTAGCTTTTTGCACCCGTTGAGTAAAAGATATTGAAGATTCATCAAATTACAGAGGCTGTCTGGTAGACTTACAAGATCTTCACAACGTTTCAGACATAGCTCAGTGAGGCCGCTCAGATTCCCAATGGATGAAGGCACTTCTCTTATCCCAGTAGACTTCAGACTCAGTCGTGTCAAGCAATGCATATCTCCGTTGATTTCTGGAAATGTATCTAATTTTGGGTATTTAGATATCGAGAGATCTAGAAGGGATTCCATCTGAATAGAGCTTGGAAGCTTCTTTAAGTTCTCACATCTCTCTATTATTAACAAACGGAGATTCTTTTGAACTTCAAGAGATATGGGGAGCTTTACCAATCCAGAACATCCGTATATACAAAGAACTTTCAATAGCTGTGATTCGAAGAGGCTGTTTGGCAGTGTTGCAAGTTTATTGCAACCTGAAATTCTGAGATCACTAAGATTTCGAATAGTGTCTGGAATACATTCAAGAATTTCACAATCACCCAAATGCAACTCTCTAAGGCTGCTGAGAGACGGGGGTAAGCTTCTTATCCAGGGGGATCCTAGAGAGAGTTTTGATAAGCGCCGCATATTTCCACAGATTTCTGGAAATTCTTCTAACCTTGTGCATTCCCTGAGATTGAGATCCTCAAGAGAATCCATGCAGACAAATTTTGGAAGCTTCTTAAGTTTGCGACAACCATACAAACTCAAATAAGTAAGCATTTTGCAATGTCCAATAGAGGGATGGACCTCTTCCAAATTCACACACCCCTCTAAATGTAGCTTCTCCAAGTTTGGTATACCACCAAAATTAGGGGTTTTTGTGAACTCACAGCTATCCCTGAGATCCAAATGCTTCAAATTGCTCAATTTCTGTATTCATTTAAAAAAAAAACGAAAAACTAGTTAACTAAAGTAGTACTCCTAATAGAAATATTTTATGGGAAAAAAAATAAAGAGAAGAGAAGGTTGTTATGATCATTGAAGGCAGTAGAAAACGTGGAAAAGAGGGAGTCCCATGTAATTCTATCAACCAAAGCTAGAACAGATTAAAACAGATGGAAAGAAATCACCTAGGAGTCGTTTGGTAGAGTGTATAAAAACAATGCTCAATAGAGTCTATTAGTAATACTTGCATTAGTTATGTATAGATTATTTCTCATGCATTGTTTAGTTTGGTGTATTAAAAATTGTATGCATTGTATAAAAATATTTATGTACAAAAATATCCTCCACAATTATGGTGGAAAAGATGTAAAAATGCTTTTGAGGGGTAATTGGGTCTATGCTAATACATGTATTAAATTCATTTGCATTACTAATACCTAGAAATCCATGGTATTAGTAATACACTCCACTAATATAGGGATTTGAACCTGAGATCTCATAGTGCTCAATCCACTTCTTTGACACCTAGTACACATCCTTGGGTGCGCTTGCAAGTTCTTTATTAGGTAGATATAATTGCAGGAAGTAAATTACTATACAATTATAAATCCAAAGATTCAAAAATATTTACATCATGACTGTGATGAAGTACTTCATTTATATCGTGAATGTCAACAAAGTTAGGTTCCGCCTAAATATGTTGAAGATTTAATTGGGAAAAGAAAGGTGATGAAAAGAGAGAGGGAGAGATTATATATTTGATTTTTGTGATGAAGTTTGTACTTGTAAGAACAATATTTGAACTTTCAAGTGAGTGATTACCAAAAAAAAAGATTAAAAAATTGGTGTTAATTGTGTATAACAGTACATTTATTTAAAGTAGCATTTAAATCGTGGACGGATTAATTTACGTGCATTGACCTATCAAAACATTTATTTCAAGCTCATGATTACGTTGATTAAAATTAGAAAAAGTAAATTACATGAAAGCGAGTTTATATACATGATGTTCTATAATTACAACTATTTGTTCAGATTTATTATTACATTATTCTGTACAAGAACTTTGCAACAAATCTAGTTGATGTATAATATTTGAAAATTTAAAACCAAAATAGTAGAGTTAATTGATTTTAATCCCTCGAAGGAGAAAACTTTGGTTCAAGCCGATCCTAATAGTAATATACAATCAGTTAGCACACCAATTGGAGTATGTAGCATGCGGACCGAAAAAGATGGTAATGTTATGAGTCCTACAATAGCTAAGGCTATTCAAGAAAGTCAGGCTGCCATGTTACTCAAACCCAATTTAGCGATCAAGCCACCCATGGTCACATTGAGCATCTCAGCTCATGAGGTCACTTCCCAAAATTTGGATTCACCTGATGAACATCAAGGTGAATTTGGACAGCTCTTATCATCCACGGGAAATGATAAAGTTTTGGTGAAAGGTATGTCACCACTCTGTCAAGCTAATTTTACAAATGATTTGTTAATTTCGAAAGAAAAACAACAAGGGGAGATGAGTACTCCTAGGTGGGCTGATTTTGGTTGATGAAGAGAGCATGTTTCACTCCTCTTTTGAATAGAAAATTAAGTCCACAAGCTCAAGAATTTGTACCTAAAAGTACAATTGCAAAGAAGAATGAACAAGAGGCCTTAGCATCATGATTTAGTCCAATTAATGCTTATGCTAGTGATTTGGGTGATGATTCTTTTGATGAGGATGAGGAAGATAATATGTTGGACATATGCTTTGATAAAGTGGCTAGAGATGGGGATATCTCACCTAGGCATCAAAGAAGTGGAAGCAACAAAAACAAAAAGAAGACACATGGAAGACAACACAGATGGGATGGTAATTTGACAGCGGAGTTTGTTCCAAGGCCCCTGCCGATGCGACTGGCAAAGCAAAATCATATGATAGTGTCAATAGCTTCAACAAGATCCCATACATTCAAAAAGAAATGATGAAGTATCAAATTTTGTTGGACATATTTGAAGAAGACAAGAGGAAAATACTTTAGGTTACTTTAGATGGGCTATCTATCATTGTTAATTCACACATTTGTAAAAATAAGTTTGAGGTTGATAACTCAACTTTCTTCTTGAATTTTATATTTGTGCATTATTTAAGCATTCTCATTTGTAATATCATCATAGAGTGTATTACGAATTCTGTTATGATTATAGAATATCTAGTTCTCTCTAGCTTTTATTTTCTTCATGCTTGTTAATTAGTAGAGGTTCGTTACCTCATAGGATTTGACAAGGTAAGGCCTAGCCCCCCTTGCTTGTACTTATTTTTTGTTGAGGATTTTTGTTTTTAATAAAAAAACTGCTAGACGCTCTGTCTAGTGGTATTAAAAATAAATCAATTTTGAACTATAAAAAATAAAGGGAAAATGCATAAGTACCCGCCAGCCTATACCCGAAATCCCAAAGACACACCTAACCTTTACTAAGGTCCTATTACCCCCCCCCCCCC